ATCAAATAAAAAATATAATATGTGAGATAACGCGAATCTCTTGTTCGAGAGGTAAACCATTGGGAGACACTTACCAGAGGTGGCAGGCGGTTGTGGCCGGACAATTATTATGTGGATATGTTCATCGACAGGATCTTCAGGGAAGTAAAATTGAATTTTTTTCCTAGAGGACATAACATTACCTCCAAGTTCTTCAATTTTAATATCAGAGGGAGGCTTGGTATTAAGAATTTTCATTCTTTCGACATCTTCGTCAGAAATACTGACTTGCCATAGGATTAAGTCTTTTGCGTCAATATTGGTGAAACTTATTGGATTTATTTTAGTGATTGATTCCCTGAGTTCCCCAACTTTCTTGTCAATAGGAATTGTAATCGGAAAAGCAGTTTCAGTGTTATCACCTAGAACGATACAAAATACCATGATTTCTCTGTATCGGAAACACGAAAATCGAGAGTTAAAACAAGGTTCCAAAAAGTAATTTATCAGTATAACACAAGTAAGACTTTATGGATACACATCAGACCTAACAGGTAGGGAATTTTCCTCGGTTTTAGTTTGTACCCGGAATGGCGAAGGTACTCGAAATAGCGAAGGATAGCTTGACATTTTGATTATGTGACATATATATATGAGTTTCCATAAATGGTTGTTGACTAATTACTACGAACTGTAAGCGAACTTAATAGTGAACTTAATAGTGAACTTAGTAATTCACATCTGATCAGATTACACCAACCAATAGAATTTGCGATCAAAAATGCCGAATGTTTCAAAATATTACAATGCCAGTAATTAATAGCCCTGTTCAGTTCTAGATCGGATTGTTCGGATCGGAAAAAAAAGTAACCAATCAAATAATAGTTACAATTGAGCACGATTTTTGATCGACCGGATTGATCGTTATATTACGACTGGCTAACTTTTACCATGAATCGCAAACAACAAATTCAAAATGTATTATTGTTAAAAACCTTTCTAGATGAACTTGAAGAAGAGGAACTTGAAGAAGAGGAGGGAACTTCGAGTGAGGAAGAAGAGAGTATTATTTTAAAAGCTACTTT